AATTATAAAACAATTATTTTCAACGTTATTAATGTTATTATTAATGATGTAAGGTATAAATACTCTAATCTGATAAACTGTAAACTTGATTTAAAAATAAACTATAAACTATATAGTATATACTTTCACAATAATTTCGTTGTATTGTATTTTCGCTGCGGCTTGCTAATATTTTTATTATCGTAATGACTCGATGAAATTCAAATAATTTTAAAATACCCCACTGGATATATGTCAGTTTCGTGGTTAATTGATTAGCAAATCAGCATGACTAGTTATTAATTAATCAACAATCAAAACATGGTAATAATACTAAATCGTGAGTATATCAAAAAATTTAAATTCGTCATCCAGTGATGTTGGTGTTACACTGTTAAATCGATACAATAATTGACAAGCTAAATTAATATAAAATGTTATGCACCATGAATTTTGATTTGTCCTGTTGCCGTGTTGGCCACAAACACAATAATATAAAACGTATACAAACAAGTTAGGTATTCACATTTTAATATTATTAGTTATTACAAATAATAGATATTATGCATATTATGATAGCTAGTATTTCATAATATGTATCTTATTAATTTAATTTATTACGGGCCTTTACTTGCCGATTTCTTAATTCGTGATCGTATAGATAGGTACYTAGGCGTGCGCAGACTTTTTTGGCAGGATGGGCCAAACCAATTATTATTAAGATATTTCATCAATTCAGTTTTTAAATTTTTCAATGTATGTAATTAATAATTATCATTGAAAATTGTAATTTGTAATTTTATTATTAAAGTTTCATGATAAAAATTTATTAGGTCACCATATGGCATATGTAGGTATAACAAGTAGAGTACGGCTCACAGGGTGGGCCATGGCTCACAAAATTATTTGTGTCGAGAGACAAGAACGTTTCTTATAAGACATACCAAAAACAATGATTTTGAAAAATAATTATATTCTTTGSTTTTTATCATCCCCCAAAAGAAAATCATAAATGCGCCAATGTACAAGTCACGATTAAAGATTTAATCGTGCAAGAACCTATTAAATGATTTACCTAGTACATAGTATAACGTATAAATAGTATAATCGATAATGTTCGATACTGTGTTTTATATGAATTTCTAATTTTTATTCCGCAAGGCACACTCGTGTAGTCTCCATTGACCTATAATAAATATAATTGACCTTTATAATGGGTTAATGGTAGCCTCGACTTGTAGTCTAAATAATAATTGTATAATCTGTTAATTTTTAGTGCGTTATCAGGTATTTTATCAGTTGCTTTATCAAAACACATTCTGTGATCAAAATATTATTATGCTTATCATTTCTAAATTCCGAATTCCAAAATCCAGCCACTTTTAGATTTTGATGTTGATTCGTTGATTGACTAGTGAGATCTGGTCTGGAAAGTTTCTGAAACAAGAATAGACTTGTTCAATTCATCTCGTAGTTAGCTAGATTAAATTGGCGTATTTATCTGCTTGCTAGATTTTGTTTTTCATCGAAAAATCAAATCACTTGGTTACTTATGAAATGGAAAACGAAGTTGAAATGTAAGAAATTAAAGATACCTAAAATATAACTTGTGCTTTTATTTTGTTATTATTAAACTTTGTATATTTAGACGCAAGGTTCAAGGGTTAGAACTAATCCTGAAATCAATAAATTGTGAAAAGTATATATCTAAATTTGAAAATCATGGAATTAATGAGCATACGTTAATTCAGTTGTCAGCRGATGATCTCAAATCCTTGGATGTTGATAATAAAGACATCAAAACTATTTTGAATGCAATTAATGTACTCAATAAAACATTGAAGCACAGTGAAACACGATTATCGTAAGTTGTTTGATCATTGATTAAAAACAGAAACATTTAATTATTATTGTTTTTCAAATGTATAATGCTATAATATATTTTATCAAACATACAATATCCTTATTATCATTCAAATATTTTTTATAGAAATGATGAAATTCAAAAACTACAATCTAACATTTGTGGCCAACTTGGATGCATTGCTTTAGCTTTAAATCATATATATAATTCAATCACTGATGATAAAAACAATTTAACTGACATGTTAATTGATAACCATATATCAGCAATTGATGCTGCTTTAATGTTAAAACCGTACATGAGAGCAGAAGAAAAAAACATTGAAAAAACATTAAAAGATGTTTTTAAGGTAATACAAATGTTACTTTATTCATTTAAGTTAGAAATGTACATTCTATGCTACAGAGTTTGAATTTCTTTTAAACATGTTCGCTTTATTTTACATAAAAACTAATAATAAATAAAAATTTGAATAAATTTAAATAAA